AATTGGTTCATATTTGGTGGTTTTCTTGATAGTTCTTTTCCCATCATAAAATAAACGAGCTTGTTGGGTACACTCTTGGCTTCCAACTTTCGAAAGCGTTTGATGGTTTCTGGAAAGCTTAGCATATGATACAAACCTACCTAAATGATCAAATGTTAAACTCTTAATGAAAATCTAGACTAACCTAATTCTACAGCATACGCATGCTCTTACGCAATGTTTGCGATCATATTTTATATAAATAAAATACAAGAGAGTTCAAGTCAAAGTAAACAACTTGGCTTACGTGCCATCCTGCCACAATCATAATTATACTAGTACCTACCTACCTACGTCTAGGTAAAATCAAATTTTGCATAAATTTCCCTAATTTTATTTAGCCTTTCTTTACGTTGTAGTGACAATAAAGATGAGCGATATATGCTAATTAATAGGGCAATTAATTAAGTTGATCGTGTATACCTAATCCCGAATTCTAACATTTCAAAAGCGCAATATAAAAAAAATCGACTGTAACATATTCATAGTTTTAAATGTTCAATGACGTTTCCAGTTCGTTAAACACAAACCATAACATTTTCGAACCTTGACCAACAGCAACATAAAGAAGATTCTAATTTTTATATGCCATTAGGGTAATTACGCTATTGTTGATAGAACTATTTATCATAGTGGTTTGCACTATTCATTAAAATAGGGTGCTTTGTTGTTTCCTTGATTCTGCGTGACGTTCTGATATTTTGAAGAAATTCTTTGATTATGTATAATTAATTAGCGGAGAGATGTTATATAACATAGTCATCTAGCGGAATGAGGTATTATTTAAATAATTAAAGGTTAGGCATATTTCCACAAAATTCAAATTATGCCCTTGCATTTTTGAGAAACAAATTGCGTACGATTACTTTTGTACTGTTTCTATACTCATTCTGCAGGTGAGAGGTTAAAACAAGTAATAAGTATCTGTAATCTTGCCAGACTCATTTTTTACCTAGTTTTTTTTATTGACATATTTCAAATACACCTAATGAAGCATTTCCCTTCAATCGGCAAAAGTAATTGCATACATGGGCAGACGGAGAGGCGGGAGGAAAAACATTTTTTCTGGAGTATGGTATCGTATCGTATGGGTGGTCCTCCCTAGGTACAGACTAAACGGCAGTCGTGGTTTGAGTGCCGGGTTCGCCAGAGTTACATGGTGCATCCCATCCCGGCGATGTACATCCCGGCAACGTACACCCCGGCACCGCTTTCGCGGTGACAACTCATCCCGACGCCCATTACTATCCCGGAATTGGTCATCCCGGCGATTTATACCCGGCGACGACCTATCCCGGCGCCTATTACTTTCTCGACAATGCACACCTAATGACGTTTGCTCAACCCCATTTTCCTTTTGTGTTTTTTTTTGATAATGATATACTGTAGAAGCGGTTGTCAAATTAGTGGTTGTTATGGTTGAAATATGCAAGGAAGCTCAAAGAAGCCCTCTTGTTTACACAATTGCCAACAGTGCAAAGGACATACTTTTTGAAAATTGCTTTTTACCGTTTACATACGCAGGTTGAGACCAGAAGACTTTACCTAACTATAAATGGCATAATTTCAATTTGATACTGTAGTTCCTATTCAGATTGTATTATTCTAGAAAGGAAAAAGCGCCCTCTATACAATAACAAATAAGAAAACTTAATTCCGGTGAATTGTTTCAAGATAATAAACATGAATTTATTTCATATGTTTACCTCGTCTTAAATGTTTTCCATCTCCCCAATCGCAGAGTTCAAATTACTGGGATGACCGTGGCCGAGATTTACATGCCCTCCTTTACACTAAAGGAACATTTTACCCATATTTTGGATAAATACACTTTCAGTAATTCAGTAATTCAGTAATGTTTATTGTTCAACAGATTAGTAATCCATAAATGAACAATTATAGAAGTAAATATAGAGGCGTATACATACATTATTATTAAATAATTATAAAAAAAGAAGTAAAATAAAAAAAAAAGATAAATGGAATATAATTGTTACAAATTAGTAAGAAAAGTAAACAAACAATAACAGAAAAGGGTATGTGTATATAATGGTACACGTAATGTTGCAAAGTAGAAAGCAATTCTATAAATGAAGGCAAAATAATAATTACAAAACTCTGTTAATTAAAAATAGAACTTAAAAACTTCCAGTAAATAGAATTCGAAGATATAAATAGTAGGAGGTACAGATAGACGGCAATGGGGATCTTTTATTGTAAAATACCCACTACCGTCGAGTTCGAAGTTTAATAGAAAAATAACCCTTGGGTCAATTTTATTCGACCGGGTATCAAAAATTAAAATTTAATTCTACGTCATTTAGGTCTAACGGTATTTTCATTATTTCAGTACTAGAGAACGCTTCAAAGTGACCAATTTTTGAGGTTTGCCGCACCACAACCAAGTAAACTCCCTTCAAACTAAAATTACTCAACCAAATCCCTTCAAATTGTAGTATGTTATAGATTAAACAGTTGATACGTAAAAAAATAGTTTAAGAAATTTTATTTTTGAGCCCAAGGCTATAGGGACTTTAATATTATGATTTTACGAAAAATATATCAAATATGATTTGTATATGTAACACTAGAAATACCAGACCCTACGGGCCTGTGTGGCATCCTACATGAACATCAACTATCAGCATTAGTTTGGCGAATTTTGATGAGACCCAGTACCTTTTCTTTATTCATTTACTTCTCACACATCGATTCGCTTTTTATTGAGCGGTTTGTCTAATCCACAAATACTTTTGCGCATGCAGCTTTGGACGGGTTTAATGTACTCATGCGTTTTAGACTCCTGGAATTGTTTGAAATAGGTAGCCTATACCTTGAAGTGGTACCAGACGGCCATCAAATTTCACGAGAAAACCTATTGATCTTAAATTTCGCAAACACATGCCTTTAGTGGTATCAAGTAAAACTGTGAAAATGGGGTGAGGGGGCGCGGGAGGTGAACACACGTTCTGCTCTTCATGGTATTTTATTGAAAGGTTTAATCGAAATGAATTGCTTTCCACTAACTATAACTTTCCTGCGCGACTCCTTTTCAAGATCAGTGGGTGGAGGGGGTGAGGGTGGGGGTGAAAGTTGGTTTTATCTTTAATGGTATTCGAATTAAAGGTCGCACCAAAAGGAACTACCAATTACCTCCCTTCTTTCTTACCGCTAATCAAAATACATGGTACTCTAATGAAAGGTCTCAACGAAAGGAATTGATTTATACTAACCCTAGTCCTCCTCCTCGACCCCTTATCGTAAATGGATATAATTCCTTATATTTCCAAAGCGGATCGTCGGAGAAGAGTACTTATAAAAGGTGATTGGGAAGAAATATACCAATTGGTGATGTCAAAACTTGCATTGGGAATATCTCGAGAATGGAATGCCGGAAGACTAAAAACTAACTAACAAAGAGAGATTCGGGCGTAGGGGTGTTAAACAATGCGCTTTATCTGTACAAGAGTTGTGCACAATTTGTACTTGTTTACATACGTATAAGACGCTTGATTTCAGAAGAAAAATGTTATTTTCTAACCTCCAGCGCTCCAGCTACCATTACAATAGTACATAATGTCTGATTATTAAGGATCCTAAGATCCTTTATAGTTTTGTATTGTCGTCAGTCCGTCCGTCCATCCGTCCGTCCGTGTGCGCTATAACTTCGAGTGCATCGGGAAAAGGAACAACTGCAGGCTCAATATAATAGAAATCAACTTATTTCATTCTCTAGGTCATATATTGAGTTCGGACTTTCGCTAGATTATTCCCTATGACTCTTAGATTTGTAACAATTGAATATAACTATTCTCTGTGGTCTAGGTCAAAAGTTTTAGAGCAAAATGTACCAAAAATTATTCTTTACACATGAATTTGGAGTTGTAAAAGCTTTCAATCGCATTATCTAGATATTAAAAGAGTAAGTACATCCCGTACACATTTGATAACCGCATGTGTGTGATTCAAAAATTAAATTATTTTTCTAAGGCCACATGGATTTTCGTTATTCATGCACCAAGATCATTTGTAGCAAGATTAAGAGCATTATCTCAATGCCCAAGACATGAATTTAATGTATTTTGTAAGATTTAAATAAATTGTCGTTTAAGGTGATTGTAATACTGAGGATCCTTCGATATTTCGTTGTATCGGTTTATTCAACACTATAAATTGATAACGACTAAGTTTGACGCTACAACCAGTCACAGAGCCGATTTCATGCAATTTCTAATTGTCCACTCAAGAAACTGAACAAAAAAATGCTTATGATTTCCTTATAAGGTACAATTTCTGGTGCATCAAGAAACAATACCTATATCAACAAAGAAATCGACTCAATTCAAGAATCCTTTTCTGATCATCCCTACTGAAACCACCTAAAAAGAGATTGGTAATCAACATAAGCTTCAGATAGTTTAAAAATTTCATGCGACGTAACACTGCAAGTTGTAATGAGTACTTGTATTAATTATCTGCGAAGACCGGTGGCTGTTATGGGAAGAAGAAATCCTAGATTGCGGAACACAGCAATGCTAATGAATTGAGACAATCGCCAAGTAATAAATTATTATGCCTCATTTGAAAGGATAATTATTGTTTACTTGTAATTATTGAGAAGCTATCCACGCTCAATTTGTGAGAATATCGCAATTAATATTACAAGCAAAAAGTTTTACATTATAAAAGTTAGAACAATATTTACATACACCAAAATAGACATGATAGGAAACGAAAATTAAGGATTAATGAGTAATAAATGTTAGCAGAGGCCTCCGAAAGCAATTAGAAGTTTTAATTTTATAACTAAATTTGCATCTGTGAAATATTGCTGGTCTTACAAAGCTACAATACCATAATGATCCTTTGATATTTTAGAGAGAATTACATGAATATTCAATTTACGTCAACAACCCGTTTTTAAGTTAAAATTCCGAAATTCGTCGCAATAAAAGTATAGAGTTTCTGATTCGTCTTTATTTACATTTATTTAATAATTTAAGTCTTAAAAATATCAGTACAGTCCAATTTTTTTCACTTTCGTGCAGTGTTTCCGCTTCTGACGTCTATATCGTAAACGATTTCCGTGGTGGTAGTTTTTGGGGTGGTCTGTTTCGTTGGTGGTTTTACTGGACGTGGCGTAAATTTTCCAGGATAAGGCAATGTCACCTCATTCCTGTCGTCGCCGGAGTTGGATTCGCTGCTCTCGCCAGAGTCGCACGTGTGATGATCATGAGGGTAGTTGCGGTGGTGGTGGTGATGATGGGAAAAGTGGTGCTGGGTACCGTGATAATCGTGATCGATAACGTGATGATGCTGGCTAAATGAACCGTAATCTCCGCCAGGTAGTCGGTTGTAATAATTGCCAAACGGTGGGGTGTACTGCCCTGGATAGGGTCCGCGATTGGGGTGCGCATAGGGCACAAAATTTTGGACGAGATATCCGGTTTCGGATCCTACCAGATCTTCATCGCGGACAACAAACCTGCGATTTAATTTGTGGCCTTGTGCCAAGCTACTTTTTTCGTTTGCTGCAACAAATAAAAAATTGAAAGTTGACAGTAATTTTAGCAAATTGGTAGTTATTCAATAAAGGTGAACGATTCCTATACTATATCCTTGAAAACAAAAAGGTAATTTACCGGGTTAAAAAACATTAATATCGAATTATAATTGAGGTGTACTTAATTAAAGCTTCAGGGGGTGAAAAATTTGCTTGAAATGTGTAGGTAGAAAGTGGATATGATTTGTAAACGCAGGCTAAACCTTGTAATTTAAACAATTTCCTCGATAATCTTCAGGTTAAAGTTTATCAAATCCAGCCAATTCCACAATAAAAACTCACCATGTGGAGATATTCCTTTGATTATCTTATTTTCTGGCAGTTCAGATACTGGCACGGCAAACACATGAGATAAAGTAAACGCAATCACCAGTGCTGTTACACTTAACATTTTCCTTGGAGCACTCATCGTCGACTGAACGTATCGCAAACTCACTGATCTTATAAGTTGCGTTTGTTAATATAGTACGTGATAACTAGTAGTAGTCGGGATTTTGTTGAACGGACCGACAGAAAATAGGAAAAACCGCAAAGGTCGAACTCCTACACTATGCGTTTCTCTATCGGTAGCCGCGTATGATTCACATCATCTTAGTCGATCAAACAGGTGAAAATACCAAGGTTAAGTTTCTGCGACTTTGGTGGTTTTTGTGATTCAGGCGTATATCCTTCCGGATTTCTCGTAAATTCGTTCATTACGTATCAAATTTATAAAGTGAATTATTTGCTCAAATCCAAGAAAGTTCTTCGTTTGTCCTAAATTGGTCACGATCAAGATCATTCTCACTCTCACGTGAGCTGTTATTTATTAACGACCGCATACGAAATAAGTACCTAATCCGTAATTATTGGAGAAGAAAATGACTAAGGTGTTTTCAGTGGAGAGTTTAACCACCAATGAATTTTAAATTGTAACATTAATTAGCTTCTAACTGCCACTGATATTAAATTAAAAGCAAAGACGGCGATTATTAATTTCCTTATCCCTATGTTTCATGAAAGGTAGGTAGTTTTCCAGATTTTGGCGTTGCGGTAAAAATGTTCAACTGAATTTTGGTAGCAACTTCCCCTTGCGTTATCTGTAAATGGAGTGGGAAAACGTAAGACTGGGATAAATTTTCCATGAGCTAACTATTAACAAAAATTAGCAGCACGGACAAAGGCCAGAGTCGTCATCTTTTTACAATTACATATCAACATTTTCCTTTATTCCGCAATTTTCACACAATGATGACGATTCATTTGAAGGTGATAATTACTGCATTACATTTTAATAATTAAAGGTTGCAAGTAAATTACTTTCTTCGTTTAATATGAGTCAAATTTTAGTATATCGCAATAGATGTAGGAACCTACCACAGATTTTAGGTATGGTCATTGTTTCCGTGATATTTACTAATTTGCATGGTAAGTTTAACGCACCATCACCACAATAACAATATTAACCTCGTTTTAAGCAGTATAAATTAAATTTAATTTGCACCTTGAAAAATGGAGGAAGCATAATTTGAGACGTCTAAGCGAATGGGGCAATGGGCATAACGTGGACCGTATTGAAAAGGTCCATTGCTCTGGGCAAAGCTTGGTAACCTTTGCTCCTACCAGTCTCGACCATGGCAATTTTTACTTTTAAGTTTAATTAAACGTGAACGATCGTAAATCTCTTATTCTTCTTCTAATGAAGAGGCTTAACTGGATTCAAGTGATGAAACATGGTGCCTACAAAGTGAACTTTAAACAAAAAAAAACGTCATTATGGAGAGTTTCGCCATCTTTATAGCGATCTAAGAAAAGGTCCCAATTGTTTTTATTGTTTCTATTGTTTGCGTTTTGGCCGCCCGTCCGTCCGTCCGGACCCACTTCTGCCGTTTCGAACTATTTCTAGGGGAATGGTCCTAGAGTCCTGGAATTTTTTTGCAGTAAGTAGCCTATACCTTCAAGGTGTGCCAGACGGCCATCAAATTTCGCTGTCTAAAAGCGGAGCCCCTCCACGAATTATTTCCTGAGATGCTGTTTTTGAAAGTGAAACGTACAAAACTTTTATTTTTAATTGGTTTGTACAAACTATAACTTTCCCGTGCGACTCTGTTTTCGAGATCAATGCGCGACGGGGCCTGAGGTGATTGGGTATATTCCCTTATACCTCAAGAACGGATTGTCGGAAGAAGGTACTGACAAAGGGCGATTGAGACGTCTGCAAGAAATATATCTATTGCTGATGTGAAAACAAAAGCTATTTCGGTTAAAAAGTGCGATTTATCTGCACAAGAGTTGTGCACAATTTATACTTGTTTTTTAATGTATGAGAATGAAAATTATTACATTCGGAGACTGAATAGGCAAAAATTTAAATTGTCATCCATGCTTAATTGGAAAGGAAAAAGAATTCATGCTACCTTTGAGGTCAACTTTTTATTGCAAAAGTACTATGAAATTTTGTATTGGGATACATGTTACTCTTACTAACGAAAGAACTCTTGTCGAAGGAGGAAATAATATCTGACGGAATACAATAATCATATTAATTAGTTGTTGCAAGGGTGTATTTGCCATCAGGAGAACTAGTCGCGTGCTTAGAGCGGAAAATTTAGGGGTAGTATTTTTTGGTTGGGGTTAGCATTACCTACATTTAATTTTTGCTTAGAAAAAAGAAATTACTACGTTGCACCGTTGAGTAAAGGATTTAATTACCTTTAATTATACTACTAATCAAAGTTAATTACCTACTCAATGTTTGCATGGAGTATCGATCGGAAGACGAACATTTATCATTCATCAAGGTCCTCAAAAAGTGGTGAAAATTTCCTTTTTGTAATAGCCAGCAGTAGATAACAATGTGTTTAATTTCAAATTTGAAATATCTGGTTGTTTGTCTGGTCTATCCATAGATATAACACAAGAAGAAGAAGGGAAAGGAATTAAAATATATTTGAAACTTGAAACTTTGACATATGCGTCGCCGCCGCTCCCAGGATTTACTCAACTGTCGTGAGGATGCGTCCCTGGTAGGCACTATCAGGGACGTTTCACCACTGCTTTGTTGTCATCGCGCTGGGCCGCGACATATGCTTTTCACAAAATTATTTCTTGAACACAGTTTCCTTTTAGACCGATACGCTGCTTCTCCAACATTTCCACACCCTTCTTTGCCTCCAAAATTGTCGATTGTGGGGCGATTACTTCACGATCGGAGCCATATCGTTTGCCCTGAGACACCCTTTTGAAATCTGAAAAAAGCCAGTAGTCACTGGATGCCAGATCTGGTGAATATGGTGGGTGCGAGATCAATTTGAACTTCACATAGGCAATTTTTCCATTGTTTTCCATGATTTGGGTCACGGTCCATTGTCCTTTTTTTTCTTGGACATTGTAGGCCTATTAGCTGCATATTCCTGCTTCAATCGATTCAGGTGGGCTGGCTATTTATGGTATTGAATATAAACCATGTGCGTCCCAAACTGCAGAAACCATAACCTTGCCGGATGATTGTGGCCTTTTTAGTCCTTTCGAACGGCTTTCATGACCGGCTTTCCACTCGGCTGAGGATCATTTTGATTCCGGCGTGTGGTGATGGACCCAAGTTTCATCCATCGTTACATACCGCATAAAAAATCCTATTTATTGCACTTGTACAGTGCCAAACATTGCATTGAATAGTCAAAACGTTGTTCTTTTTGTTCAGCTATGAGCAGACGCGGTAGCCAATTGGAAAACAGCTTGCGCTTACCCAAATGTTCTGCGCAATAGTAAAAACACTACCTTTTGATTCAGTGTCTGTACGACCCCATTTAAATTCCACAAACCAACGTTCAACGATTCCTCTTGACGCAGGGCCGTAACCAGAGGGAGGCAAGGGCACCCATAGCCCGCTCTTAGGCTGCACGATGGCCGCTCTTGAAAAGTACTTAATATGACACAATATGCATGGTATGCCCATAAATGATATATATTTCTTAAAAAAATTAGCACAAGAAGAGATAGAAAACTTCAACTATTTTAAGTGGCGATATTAATTCAGAAAATTTTATAGAGTGAAAGATGCATTTAAAGGTAGCTTTAAAGTTTGTTTTCTATTACATTAGGACGCGGACATTGGACCGCAAGACAGTAGACCGCAAACGATAGGCCGTGGACATTAGGACGCAGACATTGAGACGCCGACAACGGGACGCGGATATTAGGACGCAGACATTGGGACGTGGACATTGAGACGTATTTTGCAAGCGTCAATTGTCGGTGGGCTCCAAAATGGCGGACGAGTCAGTTGTGGTATATATAGTAGCTATAGACTATACAGTTACGTCACCGTCCGGCCCGTCAAAATTTGTAAACGAGATAATTTTACGTTTCGTTGACGGTGCGGTAACGGAACGGTGACGGTACGTATAGATGAATCGCGCTGCATGCCAATGTGAAAAGAGCTACGTCAAAAATGAAGTTTGTCCCCAACAGGAAAATGTATTTTAAGAAAGCGGTTTGGGTTCTAACGTTGAATTCTAAAGCACTAACGAAGCACTAACGATTTATAAAATTTGATGCAAATTGGAGTCATTGTCCGGGAAAACGTGAAGTTCGCTCGAATCAAAAAATTTATTCTGAGAAAACTGTTCGGGTCCTAACGTTAAATTATGAAGCACCAACAAGCACTAACCAAGCACTAACGATTTACAAAATTTGATGCAAATTGGAGTCATTGTCCGGGCAAACGTGAAGTTGGCCCGAACAAAAAAAAATTTTTATTTTGAGAGAACGGTTTGAGCCCTTATGTTAACTTGTGAGGCACTAACGAGCACTAACAAAGCACTAACGATCTAGCATGGTGCGATGCTGCCGGGCTATTTTATCCAGGCCAACTTCACAGACATACTATCATCACAATTACAGCAAGTGTTTGCGCCTTTGATCTAGTTCATAGACCTCGGTTTTTTCCGTTGTACCTAACTCTCATGAAACAGCAGTTGATCATCCCCTACTTATAATAATGGCAAAACGCGAAAATCAGTGTTGGCCCCCAAGGATAGCTTTCGGAATTTAACGAAAATGTCTTCCCATTCATAAAATACCTACCAAATAATGGGATCATGGACCATGGAATTTGCTTGGAGACGTGCGTGAAAATGACAGAACATCTGATTACAACAGTGCATTTATTTTCAATTGGGAAATGTTGAAAGGGAGTTTTCTTATTTATGGGTACTGAATGACGCACCACCCAAGATTGGATTCGCATTCCGCATTTCTATTAAATCGTAGAAGCGATGCAAGCGTCAAAACCCTATCTAACTGGGCTTACTAACGATTAGATAATAATAAAATGCGTGTTGGTTAATTATTTACTACCAAATGAACGTGTTTTTCTACGAATCATTACATTGGGAGAACACAATTAATTCCCGTAATTGTAGAATAACATCAGTTACATACAATTTTGATAAGTACAAAAATACGCAAACGTTTAACACGCTAACGTAAT